AGCCCCCCCCCCCCCCCCCCCCCCCCCCAAGGGAAAACTCACTTCGACATCAAGGTAAGCGCCGACAGGGCTCTTGTCCTGCCCCACGAGGAAAGCCTGATCAGCCTTGTACCTGCCGGAGGGGCGGGTGAGCTACATAGGTCAGTTCGCGGTTTTTCAAATATCTTGGTAGCTTTCTACAATCACAGCAGAAGGACTACCCAATGCCACAGGTCGAACGCTGCAGCCATTGCAACGGGTGGCAGAAAAAACCGGCTTGATACTGGGTTTGTTTGGTCATCAAGGATGTCTTACCGGGGGTTTTGTTAACCGTGGAGACGATCAAGGACAAGGTTAACATTTGGAACGCACCAATTTTCCACCCGCCGGTGAGTTGACGTGATGTTGGCGTCACCTGGGCCAAACACGATTGGTGTGCACTACACAGTAGCCGCATGGCATTAACCCATGTTTCGCCCACTGCCCGCTGCTGGGAAACTAGCTGCATTGGAATAATTTCTCGTGAGATACTTTCATTTTTTCGTGAGCAAACGCACCTAGGAGTCGCTGTGGAAGTGGCTTTGAAAAAATGTTGCATGTATGTAGCAACGCCAACGACCGGACAGCAGCAGTGGTACATGGTACATGTAGAGCAAGACAAGAGCACGGGTGAAAAAACAAGGGTTCCCCTGCTTGCTGCATCTAGCTTTCGTGTGAACGGCGCATCTGCGCTGATTTGTGCTAAAGGCTTCTCTGTGGTGCAACATGGTCGATCGCCAAAAGCCCCCTGTTCGTGACCACCACCAACGCCTGACAGCGATTCCGCTGCATCTGCGGTGTGCCGAACCTCGATTCGGCACCTGGGTTGTGCAAGGGAGTACATGCTGTAGTCAAACATACAAACGACAGAAGCACATTTTTACCGGACACCTACCTGTGGATGGGCATGGATTTGCCGCAATCTATAGAACAAGAAGAAAACACGACTGGTGTACTACTGCTGCAAGATCCTCGGCACGGGGTGCCTGCCCCCTTCGGGTGCATAATCAGCATCGAAAACAGACCTCTGCCACTTTTTAATATTTTTTTTCGTTCACCACTTGAAAAAATCAAATCCAATCCATCTGTGATCACACAGACACTGGGCAAAGCATATACAGTTAGAGGTGTCAAAGCGGAAAATTTCCTGTAGGAAAAATTCGAATAAGCGTCCTCGGATCTTGCTGATGGAAAATCGACCAACCAATGAAATTGCACAGAACCGTCGGAACCTCCCGAAAAGACCCTCTGACGCACACGCGCGAGGGCGCGGCTCGACTGTGTGCTTTGCGCCCTGCTATTGGGCACAGCTCAACACCATTGCGCGGTCCCACTCTAGAGCACATGCCTCATGACACACCCGAGCAGCAGCCGGGCGGTGAAGCCACTCAGACACCTGCCGCCGCCGCCGCTGCTGCTGAAAATAACAACAGCAGCAGCAGCAGCGGCGGCGGTGGTGGCNTCTGACGCACACGCGCGAGGGCGCGGCTCGCCTGTGTGCTTTGCGCCCTGCCATGTGGCACAGCACAACACCATTGCGCGGTCCCACTCTAGAGCACATGCCTCATGACACACCCGAGCAGCAGCCGGGCGGTGAAGCCACTCAGACACCTGCCGCCGCCGCCGCTGCTGCTGAAAATAACAACAGCAGCAGCAGCAGCGGCGGCGGTGGTGGCAGCGAGGTTGAGCCTGGCTCTCTTCCACAATTTTCTTACTTTTGACCAACTCCCCCTTCGTTT